AATACATTGAAATTTTAGCGCATAAGCTTTTCTTCCTATCAAATAATAGGAATTTCAAAATACACTACGGGAAAACCCGTCATTACCGGCGGATAATATCCGCCGCTAATACAAGATTTTCGTCGGAATTATAGGTTTCCGGCGCAAGTTTCGGCGGAATTCTCTGCGCAGGTTTGGATAGCGTCGGTAAAAGTCTTTTGGCGCATAAGTTGCGCCGGAAACCTTTCCGACGCCATTTCCGGCGCATTGCCGGCGCAAAAACTGATGGCAGCCGTCGACATTTCGACCGCTAAATCCGACGACATATACGCCGGTAATTTCCGTCGTATGATTGCGCCGGCAATTACCGGCTGATAAAATGCCATTGATATGCCGTAAATAACCTGCGGGATGGTTATGTCGCAAAATATGCATCGAGAATGACCGTCGGATATGACGCCGGAAAGTACGATGGTAATTTCCGACGTACTAAGAGACGCCGGTTAGATCGATACGGTTCGTTGTATCGTCGTTTCTGGTGAATTACCGGTGCAAAATCCGCCAGAAACCTGTAGCATTGACAAAAAAAAATGCCTTCTCAGCCAACAATCAGATTTCCACACCTGCAAACCTATACAAATATCTATCCACAACAGTTTATAACATTTCCAGAACAGTTTATAGCAATTCAAAGATGTACAAAAACATAAATACTCATTAAAAGAAACTGTTCAATAGTAACAACCAACTAAAAACATCAGATATTGTTCAATATTACAGATTCAAAGAAAACAAATAAGTTCATAAAATAAACTAAACTACTCTGAATCTGCTGACTCCTCCTCAGCTGGAGCTACCTCTTTTCCACTCATCTGCTCCCTCATTTTGCACATTTCATCCAACAACTGATTGTGTTGCTCCTACATCTGCATTTGAACCTGTGCTTGCAACTGAGCTTGTCAATCAGCTTGTGATTTCCTTACTTGTTCTAGCTCAGCTTGTAGGGCAGTTATTTGTTGAGCTTGTAAGGAGTCATGAGAACTGGATGCGAAGCTGGATGCAGTAGAGGAGGTCATCCCCTCGTATGCCTGAGCTTGCGCACCTAAACCATAAACTCTCCCATGCTGCATTCCTC